ATGATACCTCGCGAGGTGGTAACGACGATACTCGTCCCGCACCTCCCATTAGCACGGCCGGCTACCTACGGTGCGAGAGAAGTTCAACAAACATACGATGATGCTGATGGTGACCCTTACGCGACTCCTTATGTAGTGATATTGACCACTGACAATAAAGTGGACACAAACTAATACGTCTGGCTTTCCCAGATTGTCTGAGGTACATGATGTTTAGCTTTTTCTTCAATCTTTAAAGAGATATAGGCTCCATTTATCTCCTCAGCCCCTCACTCAACACCACCTCCTAGGTGCTGGTCTAGGTGGCTAGGGACCCGGTATACAAGATCTTGTTGCACTGGAAGTGCTATCATCGACATTTGGCGTCACCCATATTTTCAAAAAATATTATCCACAATTTTGTTATAAGTTTGAAACTTTAACTGATGGTAACTCAGATGATGTGCAGGTGGCTGTGTGGTTTAAGGTAACAGGGAAAAAAACGCTTACACGTTTTATATAATAATAGTGAATAATGTAGTACATTTAGTACGTGTTTTATCGTTCTTATAGTGCGAGGCTATCACTAAGGCGCTATATTTAATAATCATAATAATGTAGATGTACTGTATAAGGCGGCCTTAAACAAACGGATCTCAGTCTCACTGACATCGTCTGCAGTAGTTTTACAGTGGGGGGCGATGCTTCTGTGTGTGATCCCGATTGGGTAATTCGTGGGTAACTTTTTAGAATTTGGAAAATTTGGACCGTGACATGGGCACACAATGGCCCACTCATTTCGAATGGCATCACGAGATCTTTAACGTCCACCGCGCAGGAGACGATGCATAGTATTCTATGGCTAATGCACGGTAGTAGTAACATAGCGGCGAACGTCGGGTCATGTCACTACCTCATTATTATATGAATTATGAGCTTGTCTGTTTTCAGTATAAACATTGAGAAAGTAATATTACAGGCTAAACATGGGTTCTACTGAAGCCGCCCCCCCCCCAACACTGCCAGAAAGCCTTCTAGACTTGGCAGAGAGCCTACGTGTTTTATTAAACACGCGAAAACCAAATGACTTGAAGAGCCGCAGGAAAGCTACGTGCCGTGAGCTGCCCGATGATTTTGTTCCACAGTTGTAAATGCCGGTGTGTTTCCAGCTTTAAACACTGCTGCTATTCTAGAAAGAGTTTTGTCTGTTGTGTAAGATTCATTTTACCATTGCGATAAACCTTAACTTCACATATTGAATGACTGATTGTAAACAAGAATGCATTGCTTCAAATGTGGATATCCTGGCAAGAATGATGGTCCGTGGAATGCATATAACTAACTACATCTATAATTGCTTGTTTTGCACATTCTGTATTTTCTTTATTTTCCATGTAAATATTTTCTTAATAGTGTCCTGGTAGTTTATTTTTTTTATCCATGTGAATTATAAATGTACATTTTCAGTTTATAAAGGTTTCAATCTTCGTTTGTCCTTTGGACAGACTAAAGGTTGCTATAGGAATGTGGAATTTTTATCAGCCACTCATGGCCACGATGAGCACGAGTACAAACCAACTCTTCCTGGAAGCATACCAACAGCCAGAATAATAATTTTAATAACAAGTGTTAGTGGTTATCCAGTTTTAATTAAAAAAAAAGATATATTTCAGTTGAATGTCTTCGCCTCAATTTCAGGTCAGAGCTCAGGTTGACACAGTTGGTTGTCTTAACATTTGTGATGCTAACCAAACACAAGAGACCAGGATGTAAACATTCTTAAGTAGGGGATAAAGATTGTCCCCCACTTCCCCGCCGCTGTGGCTAATCTTTAAAATAATATATTTCTGGGATAAAAATAAACATATTGTAAAGACGATTTAAAATGTATGTGACAGTGTATGGGTCAGAGAGATGAATTAAGAAAAAAAACTGATAAAACAACAGACTGTGGCCTTTGAATGCACGTGTATACAGAAAATGCCAGTGATTTAGTGGCAAGATAGGTAGAATGAACTTGGTAGTTCAGAACAATACATACCTGTCAACTCTTTATCAGTGCCTACCTTATTATAGACCAAGTCAGACCTCATTAGTCACCTCGTGCCATTATAAATCTCAACGTTCATTCTACAAAAACCCATTACAAGGGAGAAACACGAACAACTAGGCAATGTTTTGTTGCCCGTATTGAAACGGCTGTACGCCCTATGGACCTGGAAACTCAATTTCCCTATACAATAATGCGGGTAAAACGTATGGTTTGACAGCTATGAGAATATAGCAGGAAAGTACTATGAATATAATCTGGAAGAAGAGGCTTTTGTATTGGGTGGGGGGGGGGGGCAAAAAGAAACGCAGGGGGACACGACACAGTCATTGCTAACCATGGCTGTAAAACAATGTTAAATGGAAACAGCGCGAGTAATGGATGTGGTCTGCTTTTGTCTACCGTGCATTCCAGTGTAGTTCTCACCCCCTATACACATACTCTCATATAAGCGCGCAACTTTATCTGTGATGAACGCTGCACTTTCCGTCGTTTTCATGCAGGGGGCGCTGCAAACCGACGTGCCCCCTGCATGAACGATGGAGGCGACGGACAGACGTTCGATTACGTTGGAATCGATCTGCAGACGGCGGTCTTCTCGCACGTCTAGCTCTATGTCACCTTATCTCGATCCCGCAATCCCAAACAGGTGAAATACCGCATCTAACCGAACGCCCAGCAAGGCCATCTACTTAACGACCAGACAAAATTCACACGAAATGTCGTTTTCAATTAAGTCTTCCAGATGTAAATTGATATAAGCTTTTAATGAAGAAATTAATTATCTAATCAATACAAACGATACAATTCAAAGATGTTTAATTTAAAAACTTCAAAATGGAGCATCGGGTGCTTGCGTGAATGCGTCGTTCATGTGCAATTTTTTTTGTGACTTTCCTGGCCAAAGGCCGTAAATTATATGAGGGGCGCCATAGGCGCCCCCAAACAACCCCACTGGTGCTAAATATTGAATCAACATTTTCAGAATCTTGGAGGAATCCAATGAGCTACAAAGATCTTTCTCACAGATCTCCAGTCAGGGGCAGGGTCAGAAAGTTACAATAACAAACAATACAATAACACGATAGGAGTGCAAAGTATAGGAAAGGTTAAGGAAATCACACAAAAAAACCATTTAGATTTTACCAGGTAAAGCCAAATAGTGTTCATAAATGAGCTAAGTATGGCACACATTTGCAAATATGTTTCCTGGATGAACAGAGCCCAATGTAAATTTCTTGTTACATCAAGTGATGTGAGATTGGATTTCAAGTAGAGGTCACAACAGCCGGTCCTGTATGATACATCGAGTGCAAATCGAAGAGCACAATGATGAAGCGGGTTTGGTCTGTTGAGCGATTCATTAGTAGCTGATGTGTAAACAGCGTCACAGTAGTCAAGAATTTAGGGCGGTGATCCTTGATACACTTTTCAATCTAAATTGGAAACTCATTTATTTTGTGTTTTTAGTTTGTTGTCCTTCCCCCGCACCTTAGATTAACTTGGAAGTTAAGCATATATGCATATAGGGCCAGGTGGAGCATGTGTGCATTGGAGTGGCCACCCACAGAGGTCAGGAAGAACCTCAAGTTAGATGCTGGGATACTATAGGTATCAACTGTGCATAATTTGTGTGATATAGCAAAAGGAAGAGAGTGGAGATGAGATGTGGTAGAATCAGTGACATTAGCCGCAGTAACTACTTCATTTTGATTGTAGCACTCAATAACAGTGCTTGTCAAAATTAAACAAACTGCATTCATAACGATGGATATTGCACCAAGAATATGTGTGAGGATAATTTAATTACAAGCCATGCAAATTTCAAAATTACTTTATGCTGTTGCAGGATATCTGTACATCTGCATGATTGCAAAAATAAAATGTATCATGTCATATTATAGGAAATCGTTCATAATAAAGGTTTTTGAGTTAGATCGCGTAAGTATAAATGTGTCATAACCCTCCACCACCCAACACAGCCAGTAAGGTTTTTCACGTAAATAAAACGTGCCAATTCGTTACTACTTCAGTCCACCTATATGTTGGAGAGTAAATACACAACATTAACAATTTGAGTATGATGTTTTGATAGTGATTACATCCAGCATCATTGGGCGATTTGCCAGAATAATTAAGCAATCCACCTGCTTCCAGTCTTCAATAGAGCAAGATGGAAATCGTTATTTTCATGCATCATGTGAGGAGTTAAAATGTATAAAATAATGAGTAAGTAAATTAATTATAATGAAGATGTATGTTTCAACCTATCGTTAGTTCACTGCCAGATGAAGGTCTCCCTACGCTGTCTCTGTCTATAGGGTCTATTGACTATACTACACCATGCCGGACAGTGCAGGTGGAGACGTGGGGGGTGGGGAGAGAGGTGGGGGGCAGGATTGGTTAAAATATTACTTGCCACTGATGTTAGCTATGGCCAGGAATGAAACTCGGGGTTGCTGAGTTCATAGTGCATTGCCAACTATTGCACAACCACTCCACCCCTAAGCAAATCACATGAATAATCATTATTTATTTCCGTGCTGAGAGTGATGGCTTGGTGGAGGGAATTGAAAAATCCCAATTTATTAAGAAACAACACTCAAAGACCAACAGAGACAGGCGAACATCCTACTTGCTCTTCTGTCTCACTCAAGGCTCGAGACATGCGACGACGTCGCTACATTAGGTATGCACCCACAATGTCCAGCTAAATATATATTTTCATCAGTCAACAACATAGCATCTATCCATTTACAGACACCCCAACGAATTTCTAATGAGCCTCTAACTCCCTTTCTCAACAGATGATTGAATATTCTGACATTGATGGCTCCTTATTTATTGTGCAGAGAAGAGTATTAGTGGGGTTTGTGAAGACAGATCACCCTGCACATTCACGAGGAGGTTAACCAAATAATGCCTCAATAATATATTTAAAAACGTAATTGCGTCACTAATCGTTACTCACAGGCGGGTAAGGTTGTGAAGTCCAGAAAATGCTCTGCTGGAAACTGATCTTATCTGGTTATTCTGCAGGTACCTGTGTAAACAGAAAAGGGTAAAACAACAACAGATTCTAAACGGTCACTGTATGGTTGCTGTGAAGAGGATGCGTCTTTAAAAACAGTTCACCAATAAATATATATTTTAGGAACAACTTGATGTTAACAGAAGCCTAGGTTACATTGATGATTCTAATGCTACAACACAACGCAAGGTTGGCGAAATACATATTGGATCTTCTTGGTTCTGTCGGTAAAGTCACGTAGAAGGGAAGTAATAAAATAATAAAAATAAAACATAATCAAATAATTCTCACGACGTTTCGGCCACAACGCAAGCAGCCATCCTCAGGTGAAGACCAGGTCTGTCGGGGAGACAGCGTCTGAATGAAACACCACCACGCTTGGAGCGTATATTTAAGCTGGGTTGGAATTTAGCATATTTATGGGAAATGCAGGTATGTGATTAGTACTACTTGTGAAATGCGTAGGAGGTGGGCGGGGGGGGTTTCAAAGTCATATTATGCCCGTGCATCATGCAGGATTAGCAGCATCAAAGGGAGGGAATAGGGGTAGCATTAATAAAGGGAAGGAATGTTAATAGTATGTAGTTGGAGTGACTAAACAACCACGTAAAAAAATTAAGTATAAACTACATAGTATCATCATGTTTAGTCACTGCAGCTACATACTATTAACATTCCTTCCCTTTCCCTCCCTTTGATGCTGCTAATCCTGCATAATGCACGGGCATAATATGACTTTGAAACCCCCCCGCCCACCTCCTACGCATTTCACAAGTAGTACTAATCACATACCTGCATTTCCCATAAATATGCTAAATTCCAACCCAGCTTAAATATACGCTCCAAGCGTGGTGGTGTTTCATTCAGACGCTGTCTCCCCGACAGACCTGGTTTTCACCTGAAGACGGCTGCTTGCATTGTGGCCGAAACGTCGTGAGAATTATTTTATTATGTTTTATTTTTATTATTTTATTACTTCCCTTCTACGTGACTTTACCGAAAGAACTAAGAAGATGAATCCCTGCAGTCACGAAAGCTTTAAATCGAAATATATTTGATCGTGAAAGATCACAATCTTACATGAGAGGCCAATTTCTTTAAATTACTGCTGTTGACGTCCCACAAAGGTTTAGCAACCCTGCCGGACTGATGGGCCAGGTCTCACCCCAAACCAGGATTTGAACTTGTAACCGTCACATTGTGAGTAAAGTAATATAACCACACCAGTTACTCAAATGGACATTAATTAGCAGGCTTGTAGCAAATGATTTGATTTGAACGTATCCTTACACTCATGATACAGTAATCGAATTGGGTTTGTACGAATCAGTTGTTAACCATTCAGATGCGTTATAAGCGATTGATTCACAAAAAACCGTCACAGCCACTCGAGGTTATACATGCTACACAGGGTAAGAGATGCTGCCGTGATATCACAGGCAGGGGTCCCCAGTCCGACTTCCGAGTACAGCATTTGTCTCAACTGCTGTGCTTGGAGATTGAACTGGGAAAGTTTCTTGAGTCATAATGAACCACTTCGTTGAGCTGTCATTGGTGGCCAGGTTGCTTCTGAAAAAGAAGCTAATAACTCAGTGGACTTTACCTGGTAAAGAATTGTTTACATTTCCTATACGTTGCACTCCTATTGTGTTTTTGTATCGTTTGTCGTAACTTTCTAACCTGCCCATACTGGACATCTGTGAAAAAGAGCTTCATGGCTTATCGGATTCCTCCAGTCTAAATAAAGATTCTGATTCTGAAATCCCTCCTCTGTCCACCCAGCAGGAGAGATGGGCTCTGCACATTTAGTCCATCGGCCGGTCCTGTGTGTTGGGGTAAACTCTTGTGTACTCCCATGTCTTCCAAGGTATCTGGCCAGCATGGTAGAGTAGGCCACATACCCTCGCTAGAGGCCCTTCAGTCGAGGCCCTTCTGCCAGCAGTGGTACAAACAGGTAATTATAGAGCGGCATCTTTAGCATTTACCTTTATACAAGAGTGAATAAAAATATATAATAGCCCTCTCCATGAACTCTACCTGACTGTAAAACGTACGTCCTAACTATTATATATATCTTCATTCATGCTCATTTAAACGGTGGCAGCGTGCTCGTATTGTAATGAATAGAAAGGTCAATAGTTCAAATTGCCATCAGAATCGGAACTATATCTCTTGTACAAATAACCAATTTAGTGCATTAAAAAACCCACAATAAATCATAGGATTACATACGCAAATATTTAACTCAGCTGTGTAAATATCAATGTCACAGAAGCATCATCGTATGCGTTACTGACTTAATATCCATTGGTGCGCATCTCTCGTGTACATGTAAAAAATTTCAACTTGTAGGCAAAGCGTGATACAGAACCCACACACCGTAAAATGAGTCCATCAGTTCTGGAATGAAAGAGCCCATGTCCCATTACACGTAAATTTCCCTCCAGGGTATAGATATTGTGAAGTAAACATTGCACAGAAAGTAAACACATTCAATGTGAATGTATGTTAACAACTGAATAATGATGTACTCTTTAGTTCTTTCGGTAAAGTCACGTAGGTATATAAAATAACTACGTCACTTTACCAAAAGAACCAACGAGTATGGATTCCTGCAGTCACGAAAGCTTCAAATCAAGATTGAATAATGACGTTTTCAGTTCATAAATATCCATGGTATAAGCCACCTCGAGGCTTATACCAGTAAGTGCCTGCATGTTGTGGTAGTATATATATCGAGCAAATTGTATTCTTAATGGGCAGATGTTATACGACTCCATAATATTACATTTTCGTGGACCTAGGCATTCACAAATTAAAATTCTCCTCGGGTGGAGCACTGCTTACTGTTGTGGTACAATCCTGGTCACCTGGGTTAAATTCCCAACTGAACACCAGCCTCCCCTAAGTCAATGAGCCTTAAATGAGTGCCTAGTACAATTTGGTAAACATCAGCACGAGGTAAAAAAAAAACTTGGACGTGTCCTAATCCAAGAACAAATATGTATTATTGTTTGGCAATGAAACACCTCGGATTCAATTAACGGTGAACGAGCTGATTGTGCAATTACGCCACTCTTCATACTGTGATTATGGCCCTAACCCCTGTATTATCTAAGGGTAACCAGGACATCTTTATGTCAGCAAATGGGAGAAGTTTGTATTTTGTGTTGCGTGTGTATCTGTAATATGAGGATATATCCAGCTCACTGACATATCACAACTCGTCATGGTGATTGGCTCTGCCGGTCCTGGTTTACAGCCAATGGGGGGAAGCCTAGGGGCATGGCCCTGACGTGATGGAAAGGTGACAGCTATAAGGATTGGTTCTGCTGGCTTTGGCCACAGCCAATGAGGAGATGAGTCAGGGGCGTGGTCCCAGGAGCTGATGAGGGAGCCTGGAAGATTCCATGCAGGCTAACGAGGATTGGCGGAAACGTACCACGTGACCCGGGTATTAAATAGGGGTGGAGACGAACGACACGTGGTCAGAACGGGAACGAACAGAGGAAGGGGGCCACGCGGGAGCGGGGCTCCGAGTTGCCACATGGCAGTGCATCTCTCTCTCTATATCTGTCCCTCTCATGCTGCCTATCAGCAGCGTGAAGTAAACTGTAATATAAGTTGAATAAAAGACGGATTCCAGAAGTCGCCTCAACGAGATTGATTACATATCCATCTAGAGTTCCTCGAGCGAGATGCAATACATGTTAATTATGATCACGCTACACAGAATGCTTCAACCAATTTACCTTATTTAGCTGTCATTAGTAAACCAAATAGTTGTCATACACTTGCCATTGTGGTACAATTATACATTCCTTTGGTGAAAATTTGAATCAACATAATACAACCGCTGTTGATTCCCACGTGACACAATTGTTAATTTATCAGCCTCGGAAGGATGATGGACTGCATCAGTCCCAGACGAGACTTTAACCTAGTCATAGAGACGTTGCACCTCCACCATAGCCGAAGGATGGTGAAGAAATACGGAGTATTGCCAATGAGTCGAAACGCGTGGGATAACTTTAACGTTGAAATATGCGGCAGAACAAGAACTGTTTACGTGAACTACGTAAAAGAGCATACAATCAGTATTTCAATGAAATAGACTCGTCCAACATGTGCATTTGCAATTATTTGGGCTTGGAGGCTCGCAGTTCTAGAATGCTGATGTTGAAGCATGTCGTAAAATATGGCACAAAGTCGCAAGTTGCTGTGTTCAACATGTGAAAATTATTTCACGATAAGCGTTGGACTCTCTCTTTGCCAAGAAACCACGTGTCACAATAGGCTCTCATCTAATCTAAATGAGGTGTTTAAATTGTTTGATAAATTATAGACTATCAAAATCATTCAACATGGCAATCTCTGAAGTCGGGAAACAATGGGGCGCATCAGACCATATTCTTAAAATTTCGCCGCGTGCCTTGGAAACCAAAATGCAGCAAACAAGGCCATGATATTAATATCCTGCTTGTGTTTAAGTCAATATTTACTTTCCAATGGACAGACCTGCTCATGCCATAAGAGTGGCTCAGGGCCACCAATGGACATGAGCACCATCCAAGAACATTTTACAAACTTGATTTGAAGCTTTCGTGACTGCAGGAATTACCCTTTGGTTTTTTCGGTAAAGTCACGTAGAAAAAAATATATATTATTTAATTTATTTTCTTTCCACGGGACTTTACCGAACAAAACCAAAGAGTAAAAATTTTACACTTTTAATTTTGACTTTTTACAAAGAGAGTATACTCTAAGACTGATTGTTGAATGTACATACTGATGATGCAACGTGACATGATGATATGATCAATTATTTTGTCTAGGAATACCTTGGCTAAGAGGTTATTCACCTTTTCAAACACATGGTGAATGGACTGCTTATGCTTTCTGAAGCACTATGATCGTTGTGGGTGATATTTTCTTTTTAGGTTGAGAAATGATACATTGGCCTATTCTTGCGAGTCTTATTAACAATGCAGCCCTGTAATTTATTGTTCACGCTACTAGAGAGAAATAGGGTATTTGGCCTCCTCTTCCACACTGGCGAGATATCCTTAAAGAGGTGAGATTACCTGCATTTTACCCGACCACACCTTACCTACCCATTAATTCGAGGGGTACCTATATATAGTTAAATTGACAGATGCAGGAAGATTTAACAAACGTACCCAATGTTTTAACTGCCATGCCAGAAGATTCAACTGGTGACCTCTGGATTGCAAGTCCAATGTGATAACCATTACACTATGGCAGCATCCCAGTGTTCTTTGTGGAAGGATGCTGTATGTTAATAATTAAAATGTGGAGGAATGATGTGGAATAATGCATGTATGTTGAACTTCTTTTGCACCGTACATAACCAACCATGCTAATTGGAGGTGCGGTGGAAGAACAACAAGCTAAACAGAAAAAAGCACTTACAGCTTTTCCAGGCTTGCGTATCTTCGAAACACGAATGCCGGAAGAGTTCGGAGTCTGTTTTTCTGCAAAGAACTGTAAAACACAACAAATTACTCTCATTACAGTGACAAGAATCAAGTAAAACATGCAAATACATTCAATTAGACATTCAGCAGAAAGCCAGTGCAAATGTGGGCTTTGTATACAATTCCCAAAGAGGCAATGTTGTTCAACAACATTATTTAAAATGTGACTGTTTAGACTGTAGCTATGCACTTTTAAATCTAGATTGAAAAACTAATTTCTTTAGAACTGCTTTTTGTGTTAAGTTTGTTGAACTTCCCCCTGCACCTCCGATTAGCACAGTTGGCGAAGTACGGTGCAAAAGAAGTTCAACATGCATACATACAATTTATAAACAATTGCAATTCCACTATCAAAACAATCCACATAATATGTTAGCGACCAAAACACAGCTTTGCTTATTATCATAATAGTTATACTTTCTGGGCCGTAATAATTTGTAAATATGATAAGCCAAAATCTATCATGTCAAATATTATTGAACTCTTCTGACATTTAAAATTGTCATGGCTTAGCCTTCCCGCAACACGCTTTGATAAATGCTACAAATTGTTTGGGCAATTGTAATCGAACCCAGGTGCCATCATTCTTAGCACCCTCTCTTCATTGTTTAACTGACTTTTGTCATCTGCTTAGTAATTTCCAAGTTTAAAAATAGTTTTTGTAAGTATGATATCAATGGATGAAGGTCTCTTCACATTTCGTCACAGATTTGAGTTATTGCTGCCATTAAGAAAGCTTTTCTCCCTACCTCTATGAGGTTGGCAGAGGCAGACAGCAGTGAGCATTGGTGACTGTCCTGTACTGATGATTCTTAATAAGGACAAATCCAGTCTATAGTTGTTTCCCTGCCTGCCTGTTGATTGGTCACATTTGCGCAATGTATTGATGTGACCGACCAACAATGCAGTTCTTCAGGAACTGCGTAATATTTACGGCTAAGGAATCCTTTTGTACAGACACACACTGCACCTTTTTGTGTGTTGTCGAATCAGTGCATATGGTACAACCCAAAAACACCCCGCAGAGCTATGCAGAGCACCTGCACAAATGCTATTTGAAGTCTCCAACTGTTTCCAACAAAGATGAGTGCCACTCCATAACTTGTTTGAGCAAGGCGACAACTTTACCCCGAGTTTTAACTTACTTTAGTATGTATTTATTTAAAAATCGAATAATTTGATTAGGTCTCTGGATTGAGCTTCAAGGCTTGGGATTAAGGAATGCCGATGTTGACACTTGCCATGTCAAATTATAGTAAGTCACAGGTGCATAGGGTAAATATTTTTTTTTGAAAGAGAAAACTACTAATATTAAGTTCACCAAAAAATTTCACATAATGCTGTATAGGCTTACACAGAAGTCAAGTGAGACAGCTATAAAATAAGGTTAAGGAAATTGTGTTTTATGCAATTCTTAGCAGTGATGCTGAAATGCTTATATATTAGAGTTTGCGTATGAGACCTCATATTCTGCAGACCACTCAACATGCTTCATAGTTCCGTTGGAGTTTCACTCAACGCCATGACCATGCACTTACAGCAATGCATGTCACGGTTGTATTCATACAAAATGCATTACTGCTATTTACTGTCGATCAACATGTTACTATAATTACACGTTTGTGCAAAGGCAAGATAATATCACAACGGAGTAATTACACGTTCTGCTTGCCAAGCAGTTGCAGTTCTTGGAAAACGTTTCATAATATGCAGCTCTAAAGGTGACTTATTTTAAATACAGGGGGGGAAATTAAACCCCCAGCTTAGGAATATGATTTCAAGGCTGAATTTGCTTAACTAAATGCTTGAGATGCATTTCAAGGCTAGATTGCCACGTGCTGTGCATTTCAAGAACATATTTATTGCCGAGACGTAGGACAAAGCTGTTTACTGTTACCAGAGCAGGGTTAATCTTGTGATTATTTAGAATGGTAATTACCAATCATGGTGCACGTATGCAGTTGAATTAATGGAATACTTATTCAGCTCATCTTCCCAGTTTGTGATTATAGTTGTGTGTGTGTACACGCATTTCGACTCGGCCTCAAATGAGTACCCCGTGCGGTGTGTAAACATCTCCGCCAGGGAGACAAAGACGGCCGGGCGTGGTGCTGGCCAGCTACCCTCTCATGTGCCGTGCTGGCATTCATAGGTGGTCGCTAACAGCACTTGCCCCAAAAAAGTATGTTAAAGCTAAACGGGGGAACTTTGTCTTGCATGCACACACATATACACAACTGAGATGAATGGGGCATATAATTTAAATCAATACCAATTAATGTTATATGTTGATAAGCCACTGACAATCCATTTTAGATCATATCGATGAAACAAGGTTTGGGAAATAAGTGTTAGCACTGCAATGACGCGCATATTACAATATTTACCCATGATAACAATCAAACTCTGCGAAACAGTCCCATTAACATAATTGCTTAATATAGTACTCTCTGCCTAGCCCTAACCCCTGACCATACATCTTGGAAGAGGTGGGAGTCCCCACGCTTTAACTCAGGCACAACCTGCCCACCGACTAAACTAGCATAAACCACGCATACAGCTTGGGTTGACAGGAGGGGATTAAAAAAACGTGGCCATTTTAACTGCCGCGCTGGGAGATCAATACGACCTGTTGATCTCTGGAGTGCAACCCAATTGTGCTAAACGCTAAACGAGGGTGACACCTCTGTTGAGTGTCTACTCGCATGCTAAATCCCTGCATGTACATTAAACGTTTACATTTGGCAAGTTGCCTCATACAATGCAATGCCGCGTCATTGACCGTCACATATCTCCTCCCATGTCAATTAACTGCCCACAACCAGAGCAGTAATTGCACAAGGTGCAGCAGTAATTTTCTACGGATGTTCACCTATCTAACATTTTCACATATCCACCTATACCTCAGTGCCCAGTGAGTCAGATATGTGACACTGTATAATCAGTCCCCTTGGCTATTCTATTGGCATTGAGATTCTCGGTCGTGATCCGATTCACGCGTTGATTTTTGTATTTGGAATGATGTGAATGATAGCGCCTCTAGTGGCTGTAGGTCTCACGTGAACCCATTGCATAGAACACATTGACGATTCACTCGTTTTATTTTACCAGGTAAGGCCTACTGAGATATGTAGCTCTTTTTCCGAAGCAACCTAGCCACAAATGATAGGTCAACGAAGTGGCTTATCACGTGGACATGCATATCAGCCAAATACTCGAAACGCCAAATATATAGCAGAAGGGTCGGGATCAAACCCACGAGCTTCGGCATGCCAGGTGAGTGAGATAACATCTCGCCTCCGTGCTACAATTTATCTACTGCTGGATGAAAACTTCCCTAAGATGTTGCCATCTCTCACGGTCTCGTGATGTAACAATCCATGTAGAGCATGTGATCGAGCCGATTTCATTGCCCCTTCTCTGCGGTGGATACAATCTTCGGTGTGTTCCCTCCTTTGGATGCCCATGCTGTTGTGAGTCTCTACCACCTTCTGGTAACGTATACTGACCAAGCCCACAAGATATTTTATTTTTACAAAGTGATGTCTCTGTGATTTGCATTTTGTGTCGTGATCCAAACGCTTCTCTGTGCATCTCTGTAATTCCGAGAATGTTAATTAATACCGTGTAACAGTCTGGAAAAAAAAATCCAACTCCTTGCCAATTACGTATTCAAAAACAGGAAACGAGGAATGTTGGTATTAACCGCAAATACTGTCAATTTCAAACTATTGCATATTTTCTCTATTCCATGTGTTGTTTTTTGTTTGCAGTCTCTCAGTATAACATAAACACAGACATTGACAGAGAAAATAGAACAAATGCTGACAAGTGTGAAAAGAAGCACGGAGCGATCCCCGCTTGGCATAGAACGTTTATGAATTGAAGATCATTGATTATTTACGCACCCACGATGCATTTGGTCACCCGTGTGTTCTTCTCCACGGGAGCTCACCAATTAGAAGGCTTAAGTGAATTCACTCACAGGACAGTCTCGGAACAAGCAGAACCACTTCGTTGAGCTATCATTGGTGGTCAGGTCGTTTCTGCAAAAGCAGCTAATAGGTTAGTTGGGCTTTATCTGGAAAGATAAACAATAGTTTCGTTTTATTTGTATAATATATTCTTTCTAAGTGATTTGTTTACCTTTCCTATACTTTGCACTCCTGTCGTGTTTCTGTATTGTTTGTTGTTGTAACGTTCTGACCCCGTACCCCTACTGGACATTTGTGACAAAGCTTTACGGCTCATCGGATTCCTCAAAGTAACACATTCCTGCGGAGGGAGCTGGAAGGAACGTTGGGTTGCTCGGTTAATGGCCAGGGTCAACGGCGGCGTGGTGTATTCCGCAAATATGCCCGACTGTGAGGGCGGGCACAAGCCGGCGTGAGTAGGTTAAACGTTGAGTTTTATAAGGGCACCACGGGGTGACCAGCCCCTCCCCACCCAGCCCCACCCCTCCCACCCCCCACCCAGCCCCTCCCCACCCAGCCCCACCATCCCCACCCAGCCCGTGACACGCGCATCACAGGCTTGATAATCGATAATTGCATCGAATGACAGCTTTAACCGTGTGAGTTTATTCAGTCATAATATCTCTCCTGATGGAACAGCTGTTATTCCTTCTCTGTTTCATTTTCTTTTACTTGCTCGTTTATTTTATTAAAGGAGTTGTGAACCTCGAATATCTGGAAGTTTTTATTTTATTCAAGCACTTATCATTAATAGAGTGATACAAACATTACTGCCTTCGACATTTCCTTATAATTAATCGAATCAATGTAAAGATAAAATATAAAATATCTGCATGCCCAAATGAGTAATGATAACTAATAATTGAGTGCATTTAGTGGTCGTGTCATTCTTATGGTGTAAGACTATCACGAAGGCGCTACGTGTCACGTGACATCATTTGCAGTCGTTCCACAGGAGTGGGCACTGTTGCTTCGGTTGAATCCTAATTGAGTAATATGTGGGTTGCTCCATGACGCCGGCACACAATGCCCC